CGCGTGCCTGGCTGAGGAATTCTGGGAGTTGAAGTCCACAAGTCATAAAAGGGCCAAGTTTGAAGACCCCTGACTTAACTGGTTTGCCAACTCAACACCTGCAGTGATTCATTTAACAACTGTGGCAAGAAAGATTGGAAGGAAAATCTTGCTTAGCACAATGGAAAGTTGTGGTCTTATCTAAGTGTGAGATATGACAAGGGAAGCCAACACTGAATCTTTAGCAATGAAAATCATGCCTGCATCTCCCTCTCCAGCGCAATTCTCAGACATGAAATCATTTTAATGTAAAAAAAAAGAAAAGACAAGACTCTGGCAACTGTTTTATTGATGATAGCCAAGGATAGTTTAGTCAAGATAGTGTCCAAATATTTTTCCCCAACTGTATCTCCTTCCCAAAAAATTTTTCCTCCTCTTCCCTTCAATCATCTCTGATTCTCGGAGACTGCCTGGAAAGTCCCTGACATTTTCCGGGCAAGCTTTTTCAGAAATGTTTTGCTACTGCCTCCTTCCTAGGGCTGGGAGAGTAACTGAACAAAGGTCTTGCCCACTGGCTTTGGACCCAAGGTGGGACTAGAATTCACCAGCGCCTGGTTTCTACACCAGCAAAATACCAAACTGGCGCTCAAAACGTAAACTCTGGAAACTATTTTTATATTAGCAAAGGGCAAACAGGGTGGATTTCTGCAGTTTCCATTGTAAACTAATGGATGTGAAATGGAGGAACCATCCCGTGTTTTATATCCATATTATAAACTTTTCCAACTGAATGAAGTTTAACGATTAACTCTTTAACCCAGATGTTTTCAAACCTCAGGAAAGGTACTACAAGGCTATCCCAAACAATGCAGCTGTTGCATTGCTGTTGAGGTGACAAACTCTGTCTACTGAAATATTGGCTAATCTGTTTTGGTTTCACTATTATTGTGCAATTAGAAACAAACTAACCGGCTTGATGGGCTCCGGTATGTTCATAATTCATTCCAAGGAATCGCTGATCAACCAACCTAACAAATCAAAGCCTTAATGATCCCTCCCTCCCTGTCTCTCTCAGTTGGGTCAGAACTACCTTATTGGACTCAATTGTTGTTGTTAGTTGCGAAGTCGTGTCCGACCCATCGTGACCCCATGGACAACGTTCCTCCAGGCGTTCCTATCCTCTACCATCTTCTGGAGTCCATTTAAGCTCACGCCTGCTGCTTCAGTATTGGACTCAATACTGCCGGTTATATTTTGCTAATATTGTTCTTTTTATTATTTCTGATGTAATTTAATTTTAATGCCTTGTGAGATATCCAGCCACATCTGAGATGGAGTGCCATATAAATTGTTTAAACGAATGAATAAAACATATCCCAAGAAACTGCCTGGTTCTAAAGGAATTACAAGAACAAAGCTTATAACACAAACCTCAACACATTTATTGGCGCCTATTCTAAATGATTAGTGAAATACTACTCAGAAATCATTGTATTTGATTAAATGAATGCAGAATTGAAATAGGACAATTTATGCGCAAAATAGGAAAGGCACTAATATTTAAATGTGCTGCAGATATTATCCCTAATGAAAACTGGAATAAGATGTTTTACACTGGCATATTATTCCACTACTAATATCCAGCACTATTTTAATAATACTTTTTTTCTCCAAATTCTCCATTCTCCATTAAATTAAGAACATCGACCCTGCCTTCACCTGAACTTGGATAGGTGCCTGCATAGTTGACTGATTTACCGTTTACCATCTTCATTTTTATTCACTCTTCTCCTGCTGGTAAATCTCTTTTGTATTTTTTGTTTGTTTTCCAGTGTTCCTTGATTATGCTCTTAAATATCTGCTGCGATAAAAAAGTATAATGTGTATACTCTGGATAGCTTGGATTTAAAAAATATGATCTATTTTTAATTCTCATTTTAATAACATAAGACAGTTTTACATCAATTAAAAGTGCAATTGCAAACCCACTATGGTTTTCAAATAAACTTTAGGAAATGTTTAGAAAACATTTCTAGCTGTCACAAAAGCAAGTCAAAATTTGGCTTCTTAGGGAACCATCATAGAAATCTAGTCTAACGAAGAGAAGGACTAGGGACGACATGACAGCAGTTTTCCAACATTTGGGGGGCTGTCACAGACAAAAGGGGGTTGACCTGTTCTCTAAAGCACCTGAGGGCAGGACAAGAAATAATCTAGAATTAAGCAGAAATTTCCTGACTGTTAGAACAATTAATTAGTAAAATGGCTTGCCTCAGGAAATTGTGGGGGCTTCATGACTGGAGGTTTTTAAGAAGAGACCGGACATCCATTTGTCCGGAATGATCTAGGGTTTCCTGCTTGAGCTATTTTGCTATTCTATGTTCTGTAAATATCATCCAACCCTTCAACAGAGGAAGGCTAGAATAGTCAGCACCACAAATACACAGGAAAACATGCAAATAAAGTCAAGAAACTTTTTTTGGAAATGGGACCGTTTGATAAAAGAACAGGAAGGGGAAGACTGAATGGCAAATGAGCCATCAAAAAGCCAAAACAAAGCATTACGCAGTGCTGGCATTTACAGTCTCTCTAGTACGTATGCTGAACTATCCACACACAAAAAATGCCTTTTAAAAAAAAAAGGCAATTCTTCCTTTAATGAGGCAACGTAAGCTTATCTCTACCAGAAACTGAAATCTGGTATCTGTTGTAACTAATCCTGCAATTCAACTGCTAAAGCTATTTGCTTCTCCATTTGCAACCTATTGTAGGAGGAAAGTCTATAGTAATAAAAAAAAAAACAGAAGTAGTCTGGGACAGCATCTTTTCTACCAAATTTTATTCAATTATTAAAAGGCTAAAGCACTTGTGAGCCACGGTTCATCTTATCAGATGGCTAGAGTATCTAAGAGATATTCTATAATTCGCAGACACAAACACACTTACTGAATTTCTACGGCTGCCCAGCTCAAGCAAGTGACTCTACATAACCACAACCTCTATCTACAACCTATTTACGCATCTGATGAAGTTAGTTGCAGCTCCCCCCCACCCCCACCCCCCCCCAAAAAAAGCTAAGGCTGTTTAATAACATTTGCTAGTTGAAACAGGAGCTACCAGATTCTTTGAAACCGAGCAACGGATAACGAGCAAATGGCCCTGGAGAGAATAGGAAGTTTATTTTTATTTTTCCAGTTCCTCTTTAGGACAAAAGATGAGAACAGCATTATATGGGGAGCCAAAGATACGTATTATGGAAATCTAGTTAAAAATTGACTCAAGGTATCACTTAAACCAATTATTTCCTGTGTACAAAAGCAGGCACTGTACCGTAAGTTGAATTCACAGAGTTTACATAGCATTTTTAATGTGTTACTTGACTTTCAAGTAAGCTGGAATATACATTTAATTTTATAGGACTCTGAACTACTGTATGTCATCTGTATTTTTCCTCTTAGAATATCAGTGTTTCTCAACCTTGACAATTTTAAGGCATGTGGACTTCAACTCCCAGAATTCCACAGCCAGCATTGCTGGCTGTGGAATTCTGGGAGTTGAAGTATACATGCCTTAAAATTGTCAAGGTTGAGAAACACTTAGATGGAGGCCAAAGGCCCTGTATTCAGCTTTCTGGGTTACAAACCTGACCATGAGCATGCAGAGCAGCTAGCAAGGACCAGGTGTAACTCCAAACAGTAAATGCAAAAGCAAGTCATCACCAGCCAACTCAAGCCAACAAGCCAAAATATGCAAGAAGCAAAATAAACAAGCCAACTAACAAACAACAAGATTCCATTCTCCAAATATGTTTCATTTTTTTGACCCCAGGGTAGAGTAATTATATCATAACTAAACTCTTCTGACCTATCTTCTAAAAAGAAGTTTAGGTCAATATCTTTAATCAGCCTTCCTAAGACTCTTTCAATACACATTTTGAAAATCACAATTAGTTCAAAAACAAAACCAACCGTTTCTAGGTACAAAGTTTTCCAACTTGCCTGCAATCACGTTAACTAGAAAAGTATGGCGTTTATGGATAGGAAGCTGGAATTTTTTTAAAGCAAAAAACCCCACCTGGGCAGAGAGCTATAGGCAAAAAAAAAAAAAAAATCCCAAAAAAATCACAGCGGATTTTTCTATTTGATTGAATCAAATATCTGCCAAGTTCAACCTACCCATTTCTTTTCTGATGCTTCTCTACTTTACATATGAGCCAAAGGTAAAGCCAAGAATTCAATGCCAATTTGCTTTCTCTGGGTAGAATACCTGTAACCTCAACGGCTGCCAACTTTTGATGGCATTATATAACAAACTGCAAGCAAGCACCCCCTAAATTACCAATGGGTTCCTTCTCATGAAAGCCAGCAACCTTTATATTTCTGCACCCACTCTAATTCTCAACGCCAGCCGCCAATCCTTCACGGCAAATATTTCCGAGAAAGGAACCTGCATTGCATACTATTGCAGAGTAGAGCATTTGAACAGTTACTCGGTTCAGGGAAGACAACCTGAAATGCACTGCGCTTGCGGCTGGAACCAACACTATGACGCTGCTTACACAAAGCAAAAGCTTACCTGTGTGGGAGTTTGCGTTATTTCTTGCTATCGGCAAATGCTCACCTTTCAACAACTACAAAATAATAGTAATATGCCAGCCAGTATAAGACACTCGTCACATCTACTCTTTCTATGGGAAGACCAAATTCAAGGACCATTCTGGCCCCAAAGACACACGCACAGAGACACACACACCACCCCACACTCACAACCCTTACAAGCCACACAGGTTACCTTTTGCCTGACAGTCTGCACAGTATTTGTTCTCTTCTTCCAGCAGGAGGTTGGTAAGGACAGCCTGGTATCTGTCCACATCCCGCACGGATTTCCCTGTCATTGCAGATCCCAGCTGGCTCCGGAAGAGTGCAAAGAAATAAGGGGAGGGGGGGATAATTTAAAGGGAGGAAGACCCTGTCCTTCCTCAATGCTTCCAAGGAGTGCCTCTGGCCATGCAACTCAGAGAGAGACAGGAGAGAAAGTCAAGAACAGCCACCCAGGGCTTCCTTTCTCCCTTCTACATAAACCAGGGGTGGCTGCTTGAGAAGATAACCTCCAGGCAGGACTTCCTCTTTCGGTTCTCAGCAGATGCCCTGCTCCTCCTCCTCCTCCTCCTCCTTCTTCAAGGTTGCCCCACAGCCTTGACAGCAACCAGGGACCTTCTCCGTTGCCTTCATGTCAACGCCGCCGGGCACAGGCTGGCTGGCACAAGGCAGGTTGGCGGAGGTTGCACCTGCAAAGCCCTTTCTGGGACCCCCAGATGGCAGGCACCCAGAGGGCAACTCCAAGAGGCCGAGCCCCCCCTCCTCTTGCCCACCCCGGGGGTCTGCAGGGTCAGGATCTCCCACCCCTTGGGGCCTCTTTTCCAGGAGTGGACCCCCCCACCCCACCCAGACAGGCACAGACAGGGGCCCCCCTTTTCTGCTCCCTCCACCACCCAGGCTTGGGGGTGGGACCCTGAGGCACCCCCAAATCAGTGGGGGCTTGTGCCCCCTCCCCTTCAGAGGAGCCCCCTTCTAAGGAGCCCCCCAGGCAGGGTCCCTAAGAGCCAGCTCGGGACCCCCCCGCCTCTGGGAGAGACCCCGCCCCAGCAGGACAAAGGAGGAGACCGAGGAGGAGCGCTGCCCCCCCCAGGCTCCCCCCACCCAGGCTGCCTTCGCCCCCCCGCACCCCACCTTTCCCCCAACAACGACCCCCTCCCCAAATTGGCCGCTCCCAACCTCCTACGGTCCTAAGAGCCCCTCCACAGCCCCCATTTGTCTCAGCCTGGGGGTCTAAATAAAAGAGGAAGGGGCGCTCAGAAAGGGAAACACCCCCCGGCCCCCCCTCTCCAATGTGCGGGGGAAGGAGGGAGAGAGAGGAAGAAAGGAGGGAGGGAGGGAGGGAGGAGCGCGCCCGCGCCCGCCTACCCGCCCGCGTCTCCAGGCAGCGGCTGACCGCGGCTCCTCCCCTCTCGCCGCCTGGCGCCGCCCACCGGCAGGCGCACGCGCTCTCCTTTCCTCTCTCTCTCTTTCTCTCTCTCTCTCTCTCTCGCTCGCTCGAACGCGGGCGTAGGCGGGAAGGGGAGCGGGGGGGCGTGGCTTGCCCGTTAAGGCCGCCTCCTTCCTGAGGCGAGAGGGCGCGCCAGTCAAGGAGAGAGAGAGAGAGAGAGAGAGAGAGAACGGGCGAGAGAGAGCCAATCCGAGGTCCAGGAGGAGGACGAGGGGCGGAGCGAAACAGGCCCGGAAGAGCCAGGGCATGAATGGAGGAAAGGATGAATGAAGGAAGGCGCGAAGCGAGGGGGGAATGCGGGGGGAGGGGCGGACGAGAAAAGTCCGGGCTGGGGGGGTGGGGGGGAAACAGACCCGGACATTTCCGGTGGGGGGGGAAGCCTGGAAAGGGAAAAGGACTCTCCCTGAGCAGGAATGCCTGCGCCCTGGCTGGACTGAGCCCCTGGCACCTCCAGGTACGAGCTGGCTGGACGGTGCCTGGCAGGGTGAATTGTATTGCTGCTTATTATCTCTTGCAGAAAGAACCCTGGAGGCAAATGAAACTCTCATTTCTGGAGGCAAATGAAACTCTCATTTCTGGAGGCAAATGAAACTCTCATTTCTGGGAACTGTGTTGGCCACTGATGGGGGGAACCTGTAGCTCTCTAGACTAGCAGCGTTTCTCAGGCTTGACGGCTTTAGGATAAGGGAGACGGGATTGCAGCGTTCCAATTGTCCAACAGGACAATTTATGCGCAAAATAGGAATGGCACTAATATTTAAATGTGCTGCAGATATTATCCCTAATGAAAACTGGAAAAAGATGTTTTACACTGGCATATTATTCCACTACTAATATCCAGCACTGTTTTAATAATACTTTTTTCCCCTCCAAATTCACCATTCTCCATTAAATTATTTAAGAACATCGACCCTGCCTTCACCTGAACTTGGATAGGTGCCTGCATAGTTGACTGATTTATCGTTTACCATCTTCATTTTTATTCACTCGTCTCCTGCTGGTAAATCTCTTTTGTATTTATTGTTCGTTTTCCAGTGTTCCTTGATTATGCTCTTAAATACCTGCTGCGATAAAAAAAGTATAATGTGTATACTCTGGATAGCTTGGATTTAAAAATTATGATCTATTTTTAAATCCAATATTTGAGGGGGCTCCTTCAAAGACAAAGGGGTCCAAGTGTTTTCCAAATCACCAAAAGGCAGGACAAGAAGCAATGGATGGAAACTAACCAAGGAGAGAAGCAACCTAGAAGTCAGGAAAATTTTCCTAACAGTGAGAGCAATCAATGAGTGGAGCAGCTTGCCTTTGGAAGTTGTAGGTCCGTGGTGGCGAACCTATGGCACCGGTGCCACAGGTGGCACGCAGAGCCCTCTCCATGGGCACGCGCGCCGTCACCCCAGTCCTACGCTTTAAGCTGGGTTTTCTAAAACCTTTTCGCTTTAGGCCTCCGCCGTCGTGTGCAAAAAAAAAAAAAAGTTGAATCAATCCGTCAATTTCAACTTCTCATGGGAAAAAAAAAAGATCTCGCAAAGTTGGAACTGATTGATTGAACTTTTTAGTCCTGCCCAGTCTGCCGTTACCACCACAGCCACGCCCACCCAACGGGCCACACCCACCCAAAGGGCCACGCCCACCCAACGGGCCACACCCGCTTGGCACCCGACGATCCATAAGTGGGTTTTGGGTTGCAGTTTGGGCACTCGGTCTCTAAAAGGTTCGCCATCACTGTTGTAGCTTCTCCATTACTGGAGGCTTTTAAGAAGAGATTTTTTGTTGTTAGTTGCGAAGTCTTGTCCGACCCCATGGACAACGTTCCTCCAGGCCTTCCTGTCCTCTACCATCTTCTGGAGACCATTTAAGTATCTGAAGTGGTATAGAGTCTCTCTCTCAAGCAGGGGGGCTGGACTAGAAGACCCCCAAGGTCCCTTCCAGCTCTATTGTTTTATGTTCTATGTTCTAAGATGGATGGCCCAATTCCCACAATCCCCCAACCAGCAGGTTGCAACACCCTAAAGAAGCTGGGAGCTGACCTTCGCAAAAAAAACCTCACACGCCCCAAGAATAAAATGTGCCCCTTTTAAACAGAAGAATCTTAAATGACTGTGGAGCTACGTTGGGCCACACTTGCCTGATAAGAGAAATATGTACTTCAAGATAAACCTGCAATTGCACCTCAAGATATTTATAAGTATGTACCTGGTCTATTGCCATTTATGTAACCTATTGTTTTGTGCAAACACTAGCACTTTTCGGTTTTGACTGCAAATTGTTCTTTTCAGCAAAAGGATGCAAAATGTCTTCAGTGCCCTTCTCGTTCGCACCTGGGAGTCAAACAAAATTACTACATGATTTGCTCCCTTGCAGAGGGGAGAGATTGCTTGGACAAGCTACTTCTTTCTAAATTGCTTTACTTTGCCCCATTAGTTAATTAGCACTTTTGAAGGTTTGCCCGGCTATTTTGTAGGGCAAAATAGCTCTTTTGCTATTTCCTTTTATATCCTAAGCTGTTGTGTGCTTGCTTTCTCTCTTGTAATTTCTTCCTTTTCAATGAATGTAAATACAATGTTGATTTTTTTTCCCTTGCTCATAATCCCAGAACAGAGATGAGGATTACAAAGGGTGGGGTGAGTGGGGAAAAGGGCTATAATATTTATCTCTTTTTCCCAGCTTACCCATGAGTCAAATTCTGGAATATGAACCTTTCCACCATTAGGGCTAATTGGGGTTGTACCTTCCTGACATTGTAAGAATTAAGGGGCAATGTCTTAATAAACCTCTTTAAGCTGTACAGGTAGTCTTTGACTTACAACCGTTCATTTAGTGACCATTTGAAGTTACAACAGCACTGAAAAAAAGGGACTTAAGACCATTTTTCACACTTAAGACCTCTGCAGCATCCCCATGGTCATGTCATCAAAATTCAGATGCTTGGCAACTGACATGCATTTATGACGGTTGCAATGTCCTGGGGTCACGTGATCCCCTTTTGCGAACTTTTGCCTGGCTGAGGAATTCTGGGTGTTGAAGTCCACGAGTCATAAAAGAGCCAAGGTTGCCTAGCCCTGCACTAGACCCAACTGGCTCAAATAGTAATAGTAGGAATAGGAATAGGAATAGTAGTCTGTTACAGAGCAAATTGGGTATGAATGGAATATGATAGTCATTATATTGGCTGTAGCTATGCTCATTCAATATATTAGCCTTCTTTAACCGTAGCTTGTTGAATAAGCTATCAGTGGCTAAGTTCATGCAATACCAATACACTAAATGAACGGCACTCTTAATGCATTGTGTGAACTCATACATAAAAGAAAAATAATAACAATAATATTAAATGTACACTTTGCAGTTACTTGTGTGATTGTGCAAATGATATATAGCCTAATCTTGCAGCTTCAAATCTCTCTAGTGTCAATCACTGTGACCAATTTACCATAACGAATTTGGTAGCTGGCAGCTCCACGCTTTTCCATCTACTCCTCCTCTCTCCGTTTCTAAATATTTGCCTGCTTCAACTCCTGCCTGCAGTCTATGAGAAGACCTGGGTGATAGAATAGCCTCAGTCAGTGGTCCTCCCCCTTTCCCCAAATGCTAAATATTAATGTTCCCACCTCCCTTCCTGACTTTCTCCGCTCCTCTTAGCTCTTTTCATTCAAAGGCTGGCTGTGTCCCAGCCTAAAGCTTCTTGAAATGGCTCAATTGCTGGGACTCTGCCTCCTTCTCCAAAGCTTTGTCTTCTCCTTAGGCCAGTTGGTAAGTTCTTTTTCTTTCTTTCTTTCTTTTTTGGAAATGTATTGGGGGAGATATAGAAGGTCTTGCTGATGACCTGACAGGGAACGTTTGGGAAACAACGGTAAGTGTTGACAAAAGAATGGGTCAGTCCAAATGTATGTACGTCAACATCCTTTTCTGCATGCCTTAGAATCAGTTATTGTGTCATTGGAAAGCCCTGGGGATTCTCAGACTGTGAATTTGATTGTTTTCGTTTTGTGTTTCTGTGTGTTTTGGGGGTGAGAGGAGAAAATTCTTCCTGTTTTGCTTTGCATTCCTTCTGTAGATTTAGTCCTTGGAATTTGGTGTCTTCTG